CAGGGTGAGTCAGTTCACAACCTGTTTTGCACCTGCAGATGCAGGAGAAGCTGACAAAGGAGAAGAGGAGAGAAATGGCTGATCAAGTGAGATAGGCAGGGAAAGTGGAAAAAACAGGGGGAGGCAGGTTGCAAACTGAAACAAGCCAGTTTGGTCATGAACAACTCTCAGATACTTTCTGGTAGCTGCCTAAGAATCAGAAGGTTAGCCTCACCACTAGGTTATGTGGAAAGCAACTAACACCAAATGATGCCATTCCTAGGGTTTCCCTAAACAGACCTTAGTAAATAAATATAAACCACTTGTAGAATCCCCTGTGCAGGCTTGATGAAGCTTCTATCTGCTGGGTGAGTTTCATCCAATTGAGAAAGAACAATGTTCTACCAACAGCATCCTATTGTTACTCTAGTAACCCAAGACTGACCCAAGGTCATTTATTTGGGGAAGAAGCCTGGGAAACCACACACACGACTTTCCACTGGCCCAGCTGTAGTCTTCGCTCAGGTCCAGGTGCACTGAAGGATATAAATATCCTCCTCTCTCCTGTATTTCAGTCAGTCCACACCCCTTGAATATCCCCAATTTCATGAGAGTCTATGTCTAACACAGTTAACGAGGCACTGGTTGCTCATACAACAGAGGTTTGATATTTGCACTAATAATAACTAAAGCCCTGGGACCCTTCCAACCTAGAAAGAACTAATGACCCCTAGAGTATTAATTCCCAATCAGAACACTAGCTGCCCCTGGGTATCGTTTCAATCAACAAATATAATGCTGTCTATGCTGCGGCATTTGAAAGTAAACTACAGATAGAACACCAGGGAAGGGGAAGAGTAGGGGCAGGACCCATTGGCCACCACTGTCCATTGCTGTCTACCTCGACCATATCCCTTTACGTCACTGCCATTGTCCGTGCTCATGTATTTTTCAGATCCATCATTTAATAATCATTTACAAAGTGTCTAGCTGGGTACCAGCTATCCTGCCTGTATGACACTTCCAAGGAGAATTTAATAATCCAAGAGCATATTAAAAATTCACTGGCTGAAGTCAGTAACAAATTTTGCAAAAACAAAACAGCTTCATAACGGTGTGATGGTGTTCATACCCCTCCATGGCTTCATTGCAGCCTCAAGGAGGAAACAAGCATTTGAAGAGTCTGTAGATAAACCTTCAAGTACTAATTGTGTGATTTTTTTAATAGGGGAAAAAAAAAAGACTCGTAAAGATTATATACACATTTTACAATGTTTTGTTTTCTTTAAGGACCAATGGTAATTACATCATTAAGCAACCAATTTACCTTAATTGTGATTTAGTGCATCGTAAAAGAATTGTGAATAAGAATTCTTGACGTTGTTTGTGGGTCCAGAGGTCAAACCAATGACTTATCAAAGCAACTCTTTCCTGAAAGAGCTGTAAGGGGGAAAAATGATATTTTACTGTACCTTTATATACATTCTTAGTTGCTAAGCAATCTTCAGATGATCTACCAACAACCTCCCAGCCAATATTTGCATAGCACTTTACAATTCACAGGTGCTTTCATGAATGTGTAGGGGTCTCTCCTTTCAGCTTAAACTGTTTTTATCCAGGGATAAGAGGAGCCTGGGCTTGTTGGGTAGGCTGCTGGGGATGTAATTACAGAGAAGGAGGGAAAACAAAGAGGTAGTGTGAACTGGCTCTTGTTTTTACCTAGACTACCATGACCCAGAGAAACAGATTCCACACGTTTTTGTCTTGAAAACACACATATGAAAAAAAAATGTGCAGTATCTCTAGCAATTAGAGAAATGCAAATCAAAACTACACTGAGATTTCATCTCACTCCAATCAGAATGGCAACTATGAAAAAATATAAGTAACAATAAATGTTGTCGAGGATATGGAAAAAAAGGGTATACTCATACATTGTTGGTAGGACAGCAAATTGGTGCAACTACTCTGGAAAGCAGTTTTAAAATTCCTTTAAAATTAGGAATTAAACCATCATTTGACCCATTTATCCCACTCCTCAGCATATATCCAAAGGATTTAAAATCAGCATTCCACAATAACACAGCCACATCAATGTTTATAGCATCACAATTCATAATAACTAAGCTATGGAGCCAAACTTGGTACCCTTCAACAGATGAATGGATAAAGAAAATGTGGTACATAAGCACAATGAAGTATTACTCAGCCATAAAGGATAACTTTATGACATTTATTAGTAAATGGATGAATCTGGAGGCTATGATGCTAACTGAAATAAGCCAATCCCCCAAAATCAAAGGTTGAATATTTTTGTTGATATGTAGAAGCCAAATCACATAAAAAAGGGAGCAGGAGAAGAAGAGAAGTTCAGTACATTAGACAAAGAGGAATGCAGGGAAGGGAGGGGGATAGGAATAGGAGACAGTGAAATGAATCTGACATTATTTTCATACACACACACACACACACACACACACACACACACGTATATAAATGAAAAAAACTAAGCAAATTCATCATTGTGTATATCCAGAAGAATGGGGTCCTAATTAGAGTAAGATATAAATATGCATGTGTAATTTTAACAAAACAATTCTACTGTCATGTATAACTAAAAAGAATCAATAAAAATAACTTTCTAATTATTAAAAAAAAAAAGAAAACACATATAGGTCTCACTCATTCCATTGCTAAAGTAGATTCATTTAAGTAGATATGACTTTATTGATCCACAGCCATGGATCTTCATAACACTCATGAAACTGATCGTGAATAATTATTGTAAAATGCTATTGTTAGTTGTGTCTCTAAGACAGTGTTCCCAAAGACCAGGGTCCCCAAAACTGGGTTCCAGGCCAGCTTTGCTAGATAGGCATGTACAAACTCACTGTCTTTATTACAGGTCAGGCTTTAACCCCAGCCAGTCTATTCTTCTTCCCTTGTAAAAGAGGTTGAGCCCACGTGAGCTCTGAGGACCCCTATGCTAGCTCCATTAATGCCTTGCAGACTGCCCTCCACCATTCGATGACTTCTTCCTGAATTACTGTTCAAGGGACGGGCATCACCAGGCCACAGAGAACCATATGGTGGGCACCAGAGAGAAGGAGTATTAAGGACACAGTGAAACATACACGCACACACCCTCACCACCACCACCCAGAGCATCTTCTTTCCTTCTCCTTCCCCATCACCGCAAACCACAGGTGTCCTGGGGGTCTCTATTTTGTCTCTGGAAGCACAGAATAAGATGGGAGGCAGATTGGGAGACTTGCAACAAAGTTAGAATTGTTTTTGTTTAAACTGACTCAAAAACTAAATTCTTTAGAGGATTTTCTTTAAAAGTATGACAACGTAAGACTCACTATTTGTAACTCACTGTGTAACTCACCTGTCTATTTAGTGACTTGTTGCTAAAAGGTGTCCAGGCGCTGAACCTCGTGTTCAAGCTCTCCATTTCCAGGGTTTTCCAGGAAGAATCCCCAACTGACATCACAGCAAACTAGGAACTACAGGTACATTTCAATAAATGTATAATTTAAGCCGACTTATAAAAATCCAATACAGCAGGCACAGTGGTACACCCCTGTAATCTCAACTACACAGGAGGCTGAGGGAGGAGGATTGCAAGTCCGAGGCCAGCCTGGGCAATTTAGCCAGACCCTGTCTTGAAATAAAAAATAAAATGGGCCAAAGATATATCTCAATGTCAAAGTGCCCCTGGATTCAATCCTAATACTGGAAAACAAAATAGAAAAGAAAGAAAGAAAAATTATAATGTATAATTATACTGTACACACTTAATACATTAATGCTGTCCCAGTAGGAGTTTTAGAATTAGAACGTATATTTTAGACTTAGAATAATCCCTTTGTATGTATAAACTGTTTATAAAATTATAGTTCATGGAAGCATATGTATATGTATACACACACAGAGGATGAACCACATAAATATACACTGAGTCCATGGATTCTTAATCACTGCAATTATTCTGGCCTTTCCTACTTGCAAACAAATCTGAACCTAAACAAAAGTTCTTTTTTACTTTGCTGGGAAAATGAAAGAGTAGTGAATATGTTTCAGAAAATGCTATTAATAACTCAGACATTGGTATAATTTTGTTTTTGAGGGGCTGGGGATAGAACCTGAGGCCTAATGCTAAGCAAGTGCTCTGACACTAAGCTATATCCTCAACCCATAGCATGATTTGTTATCTGCTAGGAAGACTGACTTTTTCTTTCCTTGGAAAGTAAGAATTTGAAGTATTCAAACAGGACACCCTACCTACCCATCTTTTAGGGACATAAGTCAGAGAGGATATAAAGGAGGAAATTAGGTTCATGTATTAGTCATCTATTGCTGCATAACAAATTACTCCAAAGTTTAACAGCTCAAAATGACAAGCATTTATAACCTCAAAGTCCTGAGGGTCAAGAATCTAGGTGCAGCTTAATGAGTACTATATTAGTTTGCTGGGTCTGCCCAAAAACAAAGAAAAAAAGAAAAAAAAAATTCCACAGACCAAGTGGTTTAAAAAACAGAAATTTATTTTCTCCTAGTTCGGGAGGCTAGATGTCCAAAAAACAAAGTGCCATCAATGTTGGCTTCTTAGCTCATGGATAGCCACTTTATCACTATGTCCCCACACAACCTTTCTTCTGTGTGCACACAAAGGGAAAGGGGTAACTCTGTAAACTGAGTCCACTGTACTGACCAACCCCCACATGTTTTCTTTTGAAAAACAATTTACCTGCAGCCCTTCCTGACTTCAGCCAATAGGACAGGTTACATTCCTCAGCAAACGACCTGTTGTCTGCAGGAGAAATGCGGGACCCAAGGCTCCTTCCTGCTGATAAGAACACAAGTTATCCTGAAGTGGGAGACTGTCTTTATACAGACCAGATTCCAGGACTGAAGGAGACAAGATAATTAAAAGTAAAACCCCCTAACCATTAAACCTGTAAAAAAAAAAATCCAGTTGGAACTAGTCATCAAGGTGACCCAGAGTTGCCTTGGATCTTGAGATTTCATAGTAAAATCTCCCCTTCATGAGGTAAGACCATATGCACTGGGGACTTGAAAGTCTGATGCAATCTGATGCAATCACTATCAGTCAAAAGTCAAGAGGAGGACGTGGGCAGACTCTTTGGAACCCCCAAAAAATAGGAGAGTAGGAAAGGTGAGCCATCACTCTCCTCTCTGATAGGACCTACTCTCTCCTTTGAGAGCTTCCCCCTTTCCCTTTTCCTGTCCCTTCTAATAAACTCATGCCTGCCATTATGTGCATCTTGCCCAAATTCCTTCTAACATGGTCTCAAGAACCAGTGACAGAGAACATCCATGGTTGCTTCAGCTCCACAGAGGTTCTCGTTCTGCAAAAGTATCAGGACCTATTTATTATAAAGCTAGTGTAAACTGGGTGCAGTGGCAGGAGGAGCACAGGTTCAAGGTCAGTCTCAGCAACTCAGTGAGGCCCTGACAATTTAGCAAGATCCTGTCTCAAAAAATAAATAAATAAATAAATAAAAATAAAAGGACAGAGGATGCATCCAAGTTTGGACAGGGGTGTCCAAGCACTCATGAGCTCAATCTCCCAACCCTTGAAAATGAAGCAAAAATAAATAAACAAATAAAGCTAGTGTAACTAAAAACATGAAATACTGGCACAAGAATAGATAAGTAAACCAATGGAAGAGTTAATTGAGTCCAGAAACAGACCATATATGTATGCACACTTGATTTATGACCAAGGTGGCACTCAGAGTAGTGGAAAAGATGAGTCAGTGAAACATGGAGTAGAGCAACTGCCCAGAGCAGCCCTGCTGGCCTCAGAATCATCAGAAATGATCACTAATGCTTTACAATACTACATTTGGGGATACTTTGTTAATCAGAAACAACAACAACAACAAATTAGGGGTAAATTATTACCATAATTGAAACACATGGCACTGCCATTGGAACTCAAAGGGTGGTGAGGAGACTGCTTAGAGGAGTCGAGGAGAGCAGTCAAATTGTTAGGAAAGGATAAGCCGCAAGAAGTCTTGCATTTTGTAGCAGTTTAGTAACACAATTGCCTGCGTTATTGTGGATGATAGAAAGGGTACCAATGAATATGTTGGGCTGATTAGAGAGATTCCAAGCTGATTAAACAAAGTGCTGATGGAATTATTGAGCTCCATATGGTAAAGTCCAGTAGGAGAGAGATGAACCAACCTGGAAGATCTGTTTAGTGTGGGGCAAATGTTAGTGGAAATAGACTATCTAGCACAGTCTCCATCAGACAAAAGTATCTCAGAGTAATAAATGGCCTTATGCGGGGAGCCGTTTGTGAAAAACACATGAGGATCTTCTCTTGGCTTGAAGCCAAGAAGACTTTAGGTTTAACCTTGGGAACTATGGTGGCTCTCATATGCAATAGATTGCCCAAGGCGTATGACCTTTATCTTTGCTCTGCTAGGAAGATGGCTGTGATGGTGGCTCCAGAGATGGGCAAAACCGGTTGGGAACTGGACAGCCCACCTTTAACATTTTTTGGAAAAGGACATTCTATGAAAGGCCTCCAATGTCTCCCGATATATATAAATTAGGCGCAGGCTCCATATTGCCATAGAATAAAAGCTCGATCCGTGTATCAGCTTGTCTGTCCCACCCCCGCTTTTGAAAATATTTTCTGTGTCCTGTGGTTCTTTCCCATTCTATTTTTCCTAGCTTTTATTTCTCAGTCAGCCCATTTCACCAAGGGGAACCCCAGCCCCTTGGGGCAAAGATCAAATGAAGGGTGTGGCTGTAAGACTCCTTATTAAAAAAATTTCAGCTGATTCCTCATAAACTCTCATTTAGGGGTGAAAAACATTTCCTAAGAATCTTAGCATTTTTGTTCCACATACCCTGTTTCACAGCCCAAGTCAGAGAAGAACCTATCTCATAGGAGTTTTGGATTTAGCTCGTGTTGAAGGAAAATAATTACAATTAGATACATACAAAACCCATAAAATTGTCAAGAGGGTAGTTCTGCTGAAAGTACGATCAGCTTATAATAAAGCTACCAACATTGTTTGAAATAAAAATCTCCAAGCCACCATAGTAATCTGTGTGTCTCTGGAGAGAGATAACTTGTTTTTTTAAGTTCACAGGTCTCCAGATCAGGAGGAATTGTGGACAAGGAGAGTTATTTACAGTTGGATCTGATGCAGATCACAAGAGACTGGACCTTCAAGCCTAATTCTATAATTGGATGAGACTTTGAATGTCTCAGGGTGGAGTAAATGTATTCTGTACACTAAAGGCATGTGAAGGCAAAAGGTAATCTGTTTCCTTATGTAGGGCCAGGAAAAACTGCACCCATTCCCATACTTCCATATCAGTTATCCCATCAGGAGGTGGAGTCTGTTCCTCTCCCTCCCCTTAAATCAGCCCTAGTAATGATTTATTGTAACCAATAACATGTCATGAAAGTGATCATGTATAACAGCTTTAAGGAGACTTGCAGCTTCTATTTTTGTACAGTTGCAAGGTGAATAAATCCTGGCTTGGATTCTGAATGATGAGAGATCACACTGGGAGAGAGAGGCTAAACTAACCCCCAGCTGTTTCAGCTATCCCCAAGTGCTAGATGCATGAGTGCAGTCATCTTGGATATTTCAGTTCCAACCAAGCTCCTAAGTGAATGCACCACATGAATCACCCCTGCCTACAACACAGGAAGTGAAAGAACTGCTCAGCGGAGGGCAGCCAACCCATAGAATTGTGGGAAATAAATGATTTCTGTTTCATGCTGCTAAAATTTGGAATGATTGTTTTCAAGTATAGACTGATCAAACCATGTGTTGGTGAACATGCAGAGCTTTCAGCTGGTAAAAATGAAAATTGGTATTAAGGTCTTTGGAAAATTGTTTGGTATTATTTCATAAAGTTGAACATATGCATTTACTTACCCCAACAGAAAAAGGTACACCTTTGGATTAAAATATATCAACAAGAATATTTATAGCTAAACTGGATAGCCCCAAAATAGAAACAATCCAAGCATCTGTCAATGGTTGAATGGATAAATATATTGTAATTAAATCATGTAACAGAACTCTGTTCATCAAAAAAATGAAGGACCTGGATAAATCATGCACATATCACATTAAACAAAAGAAGCTAGGAGCAAAATAATACATTTTATATGGATCCATCTGTACAAACTTCTAGCATTACAATGTTAAAAGTTAAGGTAGAGATTAGCTTTGGGTGGAAAGAGGGTAATGTTTAGGAGAGGGCATAAGAGGTGACTCTGGGTGCTGCTACTGATCTACAGATGGGAACCCAGGTCCACTCACTTTATAATTCATTGAGCTCTACACTCATGATTGGCATATATTTCTAAATCCTCTATTTTGATCAATAAGTGTATAAAATGATTCAGTTTATAACTTCAAGAAATATAAATTTTATAAAGAAAATTGTTAAACTTTATTAAAAATCTTTTTTTTTCTTTTGATACTGGGGATTGAACTTAGGTGTGCTCTACCATGAGCTACATCCCCAACACTTTTTTGGTGGGGAGGGGACTAGGCATTGAATTCAAGGGCACTTTACCATTGAGCTACAACCTCATTCTTTTATATTTTTATTTTGAGATAGGTTCTTGTTAAATTGCAGAGGCTGGTTTCAGCTTGCAATCCTCTTGCCTCAGCCTCCCAAGTAGCTGTGAGTATACATGTATGCCACTGCACCCTGTTTTGAACAACAGATTTGGAGTAAATGGAGAAGTATGGCTTGTTCCTAGAGGACTCATTACGGTGAAGAAATTAATTCTCTCAAATTGATCCACCAATTCAATGCAATCTTGGTAAAAACAGTCCTAAAATATATTACTGTGGAGTGTGTGTGTGGTGTGTGCACACACACATGCACATGTGTATGCATATGTGTCTTCAAAAAACTGATTCTAAAATATTTATGGAATTTTAAGGGCCCCAAAATACACAATAGCTAAGCTATGGAACAAACCCTAGGTGCCCTTCAACAGACGAATGGATAAAGAAAATGTTGCATATATACACAGTAGAATAAAAAGAATTTATAACTTTTGTTAGTAAATGGATGGATCTGGAGACTATCATGCTAAGTGAAATAAGCCAATCCCCAACAAGCAAGGCTGAATGTTTTATGACATGTGGATGCTAACACACAATAGTATGGGGGCGGGGTAGAAATTCACTGGATTAGGCAAAGGGGAATGAAGGGAAGGGAGGGGTTGGGAATAGTAAAGATAGTAGAGTGAATCAGACATAACTTTCCTATGTTCATACATAAATACACGACCAGTGAAACTCCACATCATGTACAACCACAAGAATGGGATCCTAATTAGAAAAAGTTATACTCCGTGTATGTATAATGTGTCAAAATACACTCTAGTGTCATGTATATCTAATAAAGAGCCCCAAATTGTCAAGACAATATGGAAGGACAAGGGAGGGAGAAGTGTTTGCCCATATCAAAACTTACCTTGAAGTCATAGTAATAAGATGATGTGGCATTAGTTTGGGGGTGACACCTATAGCAGTGGAATAGAAGTGCCAAAACAACCTGGGTTACACTTACTGGTTGACAAATCAAGAGGCAGATTTTCTGTCTAAAAAGGAAGAAAGAAATTTGTCCCTTTCTCACACTTACACTGACAAGCATCAACTATCTAAAGGCTTTTCATATATATATAATCAATTACACATAGTTTGTAAATCGCCAAAAGACAAAACTATGAACAAAGGATGATGTCAGAGAAGATGATTTTGGCTCAGTCTAAGTGAAAGAAAAATCAGGTCAGCGGCTCTAGGAGATTATGCCCCATGCCCA